CATTTTGCCGTAACACGGGCAGAAATATTGCCATTCAGTGCCTTCGTAACTTGAATTTTTCGTTAAATGGGGTATTCGTAAGTCGGGGTTCGACAGTATCTTTTACAAATTACGCCCTCTGCTTCACTTCAGCAGCATCAGGTAATGTTCATATGTTGATTCTGGGTTTTCTTCCGTTTTTGTTCTACTGCAGAATATTTTTAAGGAGGTAATTTGCTATTCTGTGTTTTATCCTCAGTAACATTGATACAAAGGTATGCTGCTGTGATTGTTACACCTCTGATGAAGTCTCACAAGTGTCAGCTTTGTTTTACAGATTTAAAAATATGGGTATGCACTTAGAAATGACCAGAAGCATAATAGTTCTGACAGAGTCTAAATTGAATTGAGTCGAATCAAATCGATTCAGGACTTTTGAATCAGAATTTTATTTTATTACAATCAGTGACGATACCCAGCCCTTTTAACAGCTAATGTTACAGTTTTCACTGTGTTTGTAAGTCACTCTGCTGACAGTGGACAGAAACTGAACTTCTGATTGTTTAAAGCAGCTAGATTAATAAACCCAGTGTTGACTTACTGATCTTATAAACACCCTCATGTGAAACCAAATGAAGAAGAGATAATCTGGATATGTTGAACTTGTTTTGTAGTACAGGCTCCAGGAAGAAGATTCATTTCTTCTACAAACTCACCTATTGTCAGCTTGATGCTTTTGATGGGCGTAGTCTTTAAAATGGCTGCCTTAGAGTTGTTTGTTCCTACCTGGGTGACATGACACTCGTACGTTCCATCATCATCAAATGTCGTGCCATACAGAAACAATGTCAATTTCCCTTTTTGCATGTCTGTATACATGAGACGTACTCGGTTCGCATAATGTGGCGGCTGAGTGCTTGGATCAGATGCATTGCTCTGGTAAAAAAGTTCTTTTTCTAGATTCAAGACAGATCTGGTCCACATCACAGCTCCAATGGACTCCTTATTTGGAACCTCGCATGGCAGAATGGCAATTTCTCCAGGTGCAGCGAAGACTTTCATTGGTTCTGAAACGGAGAGGAAACAACACAAAACAGTTTAGAGCTAATATGATACCAAACAAACCAGAATACACTGCATGCTAAATATTTAAAAATTACTGAGAATCACATGAGGAGAATAATTTAGATTCCCCACAACACAAATAGAAATCAACTATAAATTTAAACCTGTCACAATCTAAGGATCGTCTATTAGATCAAGTAACACTGGAAAAAATGTCGCTCTCCCTCAAACAGAAACTTACATTACAGAATTACACTAACATGCTCCAGAGTGGTCAAATGTCACTCAGGTTCCTATTTCTTGGATTATTGTTCATTGTTGCTTAACATTTCTCTTTTGTTATATTAATTTCTACATTCATCATGTCCTTTTATCTTAAAAATGACTAAAAGAGTAGTTGTAAAATAACAAACTGATCATCTGAAGAGATTTCAGAGCTCACAGTACAGAAACAGCTTTAGTGAAGGTTTAAAAAGGTTTAAGGTTCTTATGGCTTCTGACAGTGGATTCATCTCTGTGCTTGACCTACTGGAACTAAATGCAGTATTCAGTAGAGATGGCTACCGGTATCCGGTGCCATTATGGCAGACCGAAAAGCAGCGCACATTCCGGTGCTTCATTTCGGTGCTTTCTTTTTTTCCTGAGATGCCATACACTTTAGATTCTAGCCAATCATTTTACATTTGCAAGCGTAGTAGGCGGG